ACCACTTCCCTGTTGCGACTGCACAACTTGGGAGTGGGGTGGCCGCCATTGTCCAAGAGACTCCGAAAGAAGCACGCGCCTGCGAACCCACACGCAAGCCTGCCCCAGGAAACCCCACCCCCAAGCTGGGCACGCGCACCAGGGAAGTGGTGTGGCCGCCATCCACGCAGCTGCCCCGGAGGAAACAGGCCGCTGCCACTGCCACGATCCGCCACTTCTCCAGGTGGCAGCGCGGGAGCGAGGTTCGGAACCGGCCCGCATGCCCGCTCCCGTGCTCGCCGCGCCGCCGCCGGGGCTTCCGCTGCGGGCCAGGGAAGAACCTCGCTCCCGCGCTGCCACCTGGAGAAGTGGCGGATCGTGGAAGGGAAAGTGGCCTGTCCCCGGCGGGCGCAACGCCTGGGAGCTTTTGTTTGGGAAAGAATGCTTAAGGGCTCTCTGTGCTCGGCGGCTCCCGGGCTGCGAAATGCGAGCGTGGGCTCCCACGCGCGGGCTGCGCTCCGAGTCTCGTGCCAGGCCCAGTCTTCCCCACTCCCAAGTTGTGCAGTCGCAACAGGGAAGTGGTGTGGCCGCCATTGTCGCAGCTGCTCCGGAATAAGGAGGCGGCTGCGAATGCTTATGTAAGTTTGCTTTGGGAAAGCCGGGCTCCCTGCTTGGTGCGGGCGCCTTTAGCGTTCCCGCGATCTGGAGAACTGCTAGCAAGGAGCTGCTTTAGGGTATTGTAGGTGTTGGACTATGTCTTGTCCCACACCTACTTACACACATACTGGCAATGGCTATCTTCCGGTTTGACTCATTTGAACTTAGCAATGGGAACATCTCTATAGGGAAAAAAAGGGAGCCGATTGGCCCGTGACCTCCTTTGAAAAGGAATACACACTAACCAGAAATGAGAAGCTGCACGCTGATGCGTTGCCATAGCTACTGTAGAGCCACCCTTCTCTAAGTGCCATGCTCGTTTGATTCCACAGTTAGTGACAACAGAGGTGTCACCAAAGATTCTGAAGGGAGTGCCCTCCAAGCCCGCTGCAGGCCCAGGCTGCATCTAGAACACAGGAAGGCCTAAATGAAGAATGGAGCATCCTTAGAAGTCCCCTTACCAGCCTCCATGTAGTACAGATGAGAAAGCCTGCTGGTTCAGAGCTCTGTGGTTCCTATTGGAGGTACTTGTTAGGGGTCCTTTGGTGGAGTCTTACGCCACGTCTTTGTGTAGGACAGGATTCTAGCACAGCCACCTGCTTCTACAAACTTCCCTGTTTGTGGGATTAGTGGTCACTAGAGGATATTTTTGTTCTTAGTATAATGGCCTGCAGGATGTGGAGTCCTTTGACCCTTTTTATAGGAAGGTATAGAGGGGAAAAGTGTGGACTTTGCCACTGCCATTTGGTGTACAGTTTGCAATTGCACAAAGTAGCGTGTTTACTCCTTGCTTCCCCTTCTAACTGTTGCGAATGTGTGCTCCTACAGCCTCTGCTATATTTAGAGAAATGTGCATCTAGACGTTTCTAGGTCCTGAAGAGAAATGTGGAGAACTAGGTACCCAACAGGACGTGGTGGGGGTAAGGACACATACTGATGTCACCTGCCATACTTCTAGTCCTTATGTAGAACCAGGCTGGATTACTGCTAGCCCCTGGCTTCTACCCAGAAAAATGGGTTTGTATGCAAGAGATGGGACAATAAAGGGGTCTGTGATTTTGTTCTTTATTCTTGTAAACACTTGGTTTAGAATTTGAGATAGGGAAAAATCTTATTTAGTCTTTTATCTTTTTTCTGATAGATCTGGCTTGCCCCTGATCAGACTTACTCTGATCTGAAGATTTTGGAGTTTAAGGCATTAAGAAAATAGCCTGAATTGTTCATGGTAAGTATACCTTAGAATATTAAGAATTAGAATATCAGTTGGCATTTGATTTAAAATAAGTATCTCTGATCGAGGAGTATCAGATAAGGGGTTTATATTTTCTTGGCTTAAGCATGCCCCTGGTCCGAACTGTGTACACACACACACACACACATACACACATTCTAGTTATACATTTACAATTCTTTTCCTATGAGGAAAAATATGCTTTCCTCAGACATATACATTGTTGAATAAAAGTAACACAATTGTTTTGTTTTTCTTTTACTAGAAAATGTAAGACTCATTGTTTTTAGATCAGTTCTTAAACACATTGCTAGGTCTTTCATGGTGGTCCTGAAATTCTTTTGCTTTTAAAATACTCCAACACTTACTGAGTAAGGGTTGAGCCTTCATAAGTCCAAAATACTCAAAACCTGAAACTTCCTGAAGGCTGATAAGAAGCCACAAATGAAAAATCTATACTATGAAGTTTTGTTTAAAATACTATTTAAGCCAGGCGGTGGTGGCACACACCTTTAATCCCACCACTCAGGAGGCAGAGACAGGCGGATCTCTGAGTTCGAGGCCAGCCTGATCTACAGAGTGAGTTTCAGGACAGCCAAGGCTACATAGGGAAACTCTATCTCAGAAAACCAAAAAAGAAAGAAAAGAAACTGGAACTAAATGAAGTATTATTTGAAATACTGTATAAATTACCTTCATACTATGTGTGTGTGGTGTATATAAAATATCAACTAGTTTTGTATTTTGGCTTGGACTGCCATCCCCAATTTATTTTAGGAGGTATATGCATAATTGCAAAATCTGGAAAAATCTAAAACTTGAAACACCTCTGGTCCTGTCCACCTGTTGCTGGTGAGACTTTTAACTGGATGGCTGGAAGGTTGGCATCCTGTGACAAGAAGCCACTCATCAGTCTCTTCCCAGATATCTTTGGGGTCAGACTAAACCTTGATTGTCACTCAGAGTGGCCCAAAGCAGCTGTGGAGAGACCAGTAGAAAACAGACTCTCGTGACTACGATGCCTTCTCTAGCTCTCCAAATGGTGGTTTGTCTCTTCTCAAGGAAGTATAATGCCCAGCCCAGATGGTATTTTCCTGAGTCCTCCATACTTGGAATCAGACGCCATAGATAGGACTTGAGGATTCTCTTTTTCTGTGTTTGTGGTGTGTATTCATGTCTGCATGTGTTTGCGTGCACACGTGTGTGCGTACGTGTGTGTGTGTGTGTGTGTGTGTGTGTGTGTGTGTGTGTGTGTGGCCATGGCCATTCCTACGGAGACCTGAGGCTGACTTGGTGGGAGCCTTCTTGATTGCTCGCCACTGTTTGCTGAGGCAGGCTTTCTCAGTTCAACCGGGAATTCACTGTTCAGCTAGTCGTAATTCATTTGTATCTTCTTGAAATTAGAGGTGCCCACCGTGTGTCCGCTGCATTTACACTGCATTTACACGGGGAATATAGCCCCCTTTTACCTACTGAGATCTCCGGCTCCAGGACTTGAGGATTCTTGTCTCGATCCTGTAACTTAAACTCCACGGTCGGACTGTTTATCAGTCTTTTTCCTCTGTCTTGACAGTCTTTTAAACCACATTTCCCGGATTTGATTTCCAGATCTTATATAGTTATAGGATGTTGGACAGCTCCCTAACCCCTTTACAAACTGAGGGCACCACCTATTCCGTAGGGTTATTTGTACTTAAGTGCGTTGCGACATCTAAAGCATATAGAATAATGCCTGGTGTGTGTTTTGTAAAAAGCTGTTGTTCTAACTAGGAAACTGTTGTAAACGGAAAGAACTTCAGAATAGCAACATGGAAATCCCTTGTCTGGGGTCATTCTTTCCTGCCTGTTTTTGGACCACCTTTAACACCAAGATTCTAGATTGTTAGGTTCCAAATAGTCACAGTATGACTGCTTTTGGGGCAGGGGTGGGGTGGGTATGGGGAGGACTACACAATAACTAAACTCCTTAAAAAATTTTTGCAGGAGTTTTTCATCAGTATGTCTGAAACCATAAAATATAATGACGACGATCATAAAACACTGTTTCTGAAAACGCTGAATGAGCAGCGCCTGGAAGGAGAATTCTGCGATATTGCGATTGTGGTTGAAGATGTGAAGTTCCGAGCCCATCGCTGTGTTCTCGCTGCCTGCAGCACCTACTTCAAGAAGCTCTTCAAGAAGCTCGAAGTGGACAGTTCTTCCGTCATAGAGATAGATTTCCTCCGCTCTGATATCTTTGAAGAGGTCCTGAACTACATGTACACAGCGAAGATTTCCGTGAAAAAGGAGGATGTTAACTTGATGATGTCGTCGGGTCAGATTCTTGGTATCCGGTTTTTGGATAAACTCTGTTCTCAGAAGCGTGACGTGTCTAGTCCTGATGAGAGCAATGGCCAGTCAAAGAGTAAGTACTGCCTCAAGTTAAACCGCCCCATCGGAGATGCCGCTGACACCCAGGATGACGATGTCGAGGAAATCGGGGACCAGGATGACAGTCCCTCCGACGACACGGTAGAAGGCACTCCCCCGAGTCAGGAGGACGGCAAGTCCCCTACTACTACTCTCAGGGTTCAGGAGGCGATTTTAAAGGAACTGGGCAGTGAGGAAGTCCGAAAAGTGAACTGTTATGGCCAGGAAGTAGAATCCATGGAGACTCCGGAGTCCAAAGATCTGGGGTCTCAGACCCCGCAAGCCTTAACGTTTAATGACGGGATGGGTGAAGTGAAAGACGAACAGACTCCAGGCTGGACAACGGCTGCCAGTGACATGAAGTTTGAGTATTTGCTCTATGGTCACCATCGGGAGCAGATAGCCTGCCAAGCGTGTGGTAAGACGTTTTCCGACGAAGGCAGGTTAAGGAAGCATGAGAAGCTCCACACAGCAGACAGGCCGTTTGTTTGTGAAATGTGTACAAAAGGTTTCACCACCCAGGCCCACCTGAAGGAACACCTGAAAATTCACACAGGGTACAAGCCCTACAGCTGTGAGGTGTGTGGGAAGTCGTTTATCCGCGCCCCAGACCTAAAGAAGCATGAGCGGGTTCACAGCAACGAAAGACCATTTGCATGTCACATGTGTGACAAAGCCTTCAAACACAAGTCTCACCTCAAGGACCACGAAAGGAGACACCGAGGGGAGAAGCCTTTCGTATGTGGCTCCTGCACCAAGGCGTTTGCCAAGGCCTCAGATCTGAAGAGGCACGAGAACAATATGCACAGTGAAAGGAAACAGGTCACCCCCAGTGCCATCCAGAGTGAGACGGAACAGTTGCAGGCCGCGGCGATGGCTGCCGAGGCCGAGCAGCAGCTGGAGACCATTGCCTGCAGCTAGAGGTGATGGGTCAGGAACACGTGGCCTGGGAGGTCGATGCTGAGGTTGCATTGATCACAGTCAGTGAACACCTTTGACTGCTTTTGTGGCAACTTAGAGTGTTGTACTGGCTGAACCTAAGACAGTGCTTGTTCCAGTTAGGTAATTCTCAGATTCCTCAAGGCAGTTACGTTCCTACGTTCTGACCAAACCGTTTTTTTATTTTGTTTTTTGTGATGTCTAGTGTTGATGTTCCTGGTAAGCTCCCCTGCCCCTCTTTATGGTTTTAATTTGAAAACTCCTTTGTCCGGTTTAAAGTGAGCGGCTTCTGTCCGTTCTTAATTCCTCTACGCTTGCCAGGCTGGTGAGTGCGCTGCAGAGTAATTGAATAAATTGATCTCCCAACCATCCCAATATATGTGACTTACGGTCAAAACAGCAGTTTTATTATCTGGATACAAGAACTTCATATCGGTGCAGAAAACGTTGGCACATGCTGACCCAGGACACTGTATAAATACAAAACCAAGTTTGGAAATACGGAATGGTGTTAGTTTTATATTTGGTTTGTTGATTTTTAAATCTCTCTATATATCATTGTTTTTACCATTTCTGTGGACAGTAAATGGTTGCTTTGCTGAAGTGTTTCTTCCTCCATTGTGATGGCCCCTGTCCCCACCCCAAATGCTGCAGGTCATGTGGACCTCAGGGTGAGTGAGACCACCAGGATGCTGGTAGTGCTGGAACCGAGTTCCTCTTTTGTCCAGTGTGGCCACTCTTCCTGCGGGTGTCTGGAGTGAACCGGTAGTGAGAGAAGGAGAGAAGTCTCCGAGACAAGGTTTTCACAGATACAAAAACCCTAAGATTCCCTAGGTCTTCAAAATCCTGACTGATTTCAAAATTGGTTTTGTATTTAAGATGAAAATTAGGACAAGAAACAGACATGCTTCTTGGTGTTTTAGTAGTTTACGGATGATCAAGCTTTTGGGGTTCTCTGCAGCTCTCAGTTTCTCATAAAGAAGATGCTTAAATAATTTCAAATCTTTCAAATGTGTAAATAGTAGTGTTGGTCCTACGTATTTCAAGGGAAAGGACAGCTGCACTTTTTTAATTTTTTTGCACATTGGATTAAAGTACCAAACATCAGACTGTCTTAACCAATATTAAAGATCTTCAGACCGATCATTTGTTTTCCAAGTATGTTTTGTCACTGGCTGCGGTTTTCAATAGAAGCTGACTGCCTTTTCATAGCCATAAATCAGAATTATGAACTTTGAGATCCGGCATACTAAAAGTGCTTTTAACTGTTTCCTTAGGAGTGTATTGAAATGCCAACAGAGTTTGAATTATGTTCTGTAAGAAAGTACTAGACCATTGTTTTAGGATGTGTACAGTTGTAGAAAGTAAGTGCCAACTTTTAAAGTTCATGTTTGGTTCTTAAGATTTTCATTTTTAAAAAATACATTAAAATAATTTCATTACATGGCCTGCTGTATGATCACCTGTTATGACTATTGTGAGAAAAATTTTATTTTCAAAATTGGTGTACGTGTTATGCCCAAGAGTGTTGGGTGGGGATGCTACCTTTCAAAATTTCCTATTTATTGGTAAAATGTTTTGGTTTAAAATTAACTTAATTTTCCCTGAAAGCTCTTTGTTCTGTATTGAAGGCAGTCCTGTCAGTGTGCTTCTGTGCTGTTAGGGAGGGGACCGACCGCTGTTCCCAGGCCGTGCTGACCAAAGCAAACGTGAAGTCAGCTGACATCCTGTTGATAGCTACTTCAACAAACCGTATTTTGGGCCTTTGTTTTTGTATATAAAGAAAATAATATACTTGTCTCGTTCTTGCTTGTTTTCTTCATGGCATTGTACACATCCAGATCCATACTACCTTACTCTTGGTTTTATAGAGGTACGGACTTAGCATATAAAATTAGTCCCTATAGAAAGCCTGTAATCATGTTGGTACCTGGAGACACAAAGGGGAACTTTCAGTACTTCGTATTGTGTGTTTAGCATTTGAACTGTTTCATACAAGACATGGATCTGCATTACAGCTTCTCCCGTGGGTGCTGGGTTCTTGTTGGAGTGTGTGGTGACAGTGGGGTCTTAAAATTACTCTTTTTGGCCCTGAGCAGTAATGGTCTCTGCTCATCCAGCTGGCTCTAGTCATCCTGTGGGGAGTAAACATCGTGTTAGATTTCTCGAGGGACCCTCCAGAGGCTTAGGGAGCTCCTTCCGAATCTGAATCTGCAGCCGGAGGGGAAGGGGAATCCTAAACATTGGCGTTGCTAACTTTCCATGGATACTATCTCCTTCTGTACAAAGTAGATGTCCGCAGGCCTTGTGTTGACTCCATTATGTTAGCATTGGCTTAGATAGTGACTCTTAGGAGTAGTGTTAGTCAGCTTTCTGTTACTGTAAAAACAGCCGAGAGAGTTGGCTGTTGGTGGCACAGGCCTGTCATGCCAGCCACGCGGGAGGCTGAGGCAAAACACAAATCCAAAACCTGCCAGCATGCTAAAGAGTTGCTCGGGACCACTCTGAGCAAGTGAGTGACGCAGGGATAGTGCTCGCCCGTCATGCCTGGACTTGTGTAACTGAGGGTTTGGGGGATGATAGGACTCAGATTCAAACGCATGGTTAACACCCTGGGCCTGGATTTCTTCACTTTGCAGGCAGTGGTATGGATTTCCACCTCATCATTTGCCATGAAAATTAGGCAATACTTGACCCAGTACCCAGCTATGTAGGGGCACCAAAAATATTTCCTGGGTTTTTGTTGTATCGGTTTGTTTTAGACAGGCTGTCACTGTAGCTTGACTGGCCTCAAACACAAGAGATCTGCCTGCTTCTGCATCCTCAGTGTTGGGACTATGGGCATATGCCTATAAATCTGCTGTGTCAAGCAAGTTCTCAGTGGACACAAACGTGTGTGTGTGTGCACACGCACTGTGTGTGTGCATGCACGCGCGCACATGGGTACAAGCCTGTCAATTCTGTGATTGGCAGCTCTGGGTTGTAGACTGACAACCACATTTAAAGCGTTCATTCATAACTGAAACTAGCTGCAGAAGCTGTGTTTAATCTTGACATTTGTAAACTGCCCATTCACCGCTCTCTTCTTACAAACGTATTCATCCTAGAATTTTCTTTGGTTTCATAATCACCCATCATTTGCCGTTTTTAAGTAGGTCATTGGCTTGTAGACATGTGTACACCCTGGCTTGGTTGACTTCCAGACCTACTTAGGGACCGTGACGACACAGCCAGAATCGCAATGTTGAGAGCCATATGGGAAGTCATCCACTTCGCAAATATGTGTGGAGCTTTTCCAAAGTGGACTTACTCAGTATTGCCCTTCCTGGTTTGCATAAATTCCAAGAATATCTCTGCTTCTTGCTGAAGGGATTAGGACTACCACCCTAGAATTTTTATTTTAGTTCTAGAGTTTTCTGCTTGCTTTCCTTTAGAGGATGTTTTCATTCCTCTCCCAGGAGAGCACTTTCTGTGGAGTAGGTTAGTGTCTGTTCACAGTCCTGGTTGAATGCCTGGAATTACAGTGCCAGGCATTGGACTAGGTACTGGGAATGCCTAGTGAACAGGACTGACCCCTTTCCTACTGTCCAGAAACAAAAGCCTCACCTTTCCATACGGCATACAGACTTTAAAGTGGTGTCGTTGTCACACACATGCAAAACCTTTTTCAGTTTGTGTGTTTATTAGTCCAGTTCTAAGAACATACTTTTAAAGGTAGCTAAAAGGTTTCTCTGTTCTATTGTCATGAGGTTGAGCGGTGTCAAAATCAACTAGCAAGATGTGTTAGCCGGTAAAGGGTGCATGCCACCGACCCCGAGGACCTGTGTTTGATCCCCAGGTTTCACATGGAAAGAGAAATGACTCCTACAAGTTGTCCTTGGACACCAACGTGATGCTATGGCGTGCGTGCACACACATACACATCCGATAAGTGCAGTAGTGATGAATCTCTCGTGCAATGGGTCAGCAGAATTCAATTTAAACTTTGGTGGTAGGTAGGCTGCGATTAGGCTGTATGCTGATCGGTATAGCTGGTGTCTGTGGCTGGCTTATAGCCTGTTTGTCCACACTGTGAGCTAGCTATTACTATTCTCATTTGGTTTTGGGGGGTTTTTCCCCTCTAGGTCATCAGACCTCTGTTTTAGATAGGGTTTCACGTAGCCCAGGCTTTAGACATCCAGAATCATGAGCCGAAATAAACCAGTTTTCCTTAAGAGTTCGTTCATTTGGTGGTATTATTATTGGCTACAGAAAACAGATTGCATACACGACAGTGATTGTAATTTTATTATTCTCTTCTTTCAGTCAGTAGAAGTGTGGAGGGCCCAGACCTTCATCTGCTGCTTTTCCCTTGCCGCACAGACTGAGAGCGGCAGCCTCCGTCCCATCTCACTTCCTTTGTCCTGAAGGAGCGGATGATTACGTGGCTCTTTATGGTTATTCCAATTATTTCGACTACAAACCTATGCTTTGGCAATTATTTTATTTATCCTTCAGGAACATTTTAATGAAACTGCTTGAAAATTTCTTGTCTTCTACCTACAAGCCGTGCTAGAAGTGATCATAAGATCTGGGTGCCGGGGCGGGCAGGGAAGTGAGGGGTTAGGGAGGAAGGGTGTGTGTTGGAAGCAGGCAATTGTCCCTGAAAACAGCATGGTGATTTCGCAGACTGTCACAACTCCTAGCAAAAGGACTCAAACCTCGCCGGGTGCAGTCCAGTGTCTTAACCCAGGCTCTCCTGCACCTGCCTGGGGAGCACTCGGCCGAGCCTTTGGCAGTTCATTCAGCAGGTGGGTTGGAGTGGCATAGTGATTTAGACTCTTCCAGTCCGCTGACCAGGAGGTCAAGAGGGCAACATGGGAACATGTGTGACTTTTACGTGACTCTTGCTTCATGCAGTCATTTCTTCTTACCTTTGCCCTTTGGGGCCTGAGTGTATAGAGCTGTAGTTCTTGGTCCCCAAGCATTGTTTTTACTCTCTTTGTCCTGTTTCCCCTATCATCATTTTGCACAAACAGCAACCGTATCTGTTATTAGAATTCGGCATCTGCCCCCTCCCCCACCGGGGCTATTAAGGCCCTAGTTTTTTTTTTAAAAACAGTCATACAGGTTTCGTAAATACATAACGACGTATTGGATGGCCCTATTACGGGCTACTATCCCTTCAACCACTCCGTTACCAAAAGAAAAGGGGGGTGCTTTACAGAATTGTAGGGCAAATCTTGTTAGGTCAAAATAAAATAAAGCGGGCCCAGTTTTCCTTTGCTCTCCCCATGCCTATGGAGACATGGAGAAACGCACACTAAATGGAAGGATTATGATGCTTCCCGGAGGAAACTCGTTACCAGACATAGGAGGCAGCCTAAAGCTTGGATTTCAGCTGTATGGGCTGCTAACTCTGGTGTTCATCTCTGTCCCTCTAAGACCAGGTTTGCACCGCCTATGCTCGATTCTCCTGACGGACAGGTCAGTTGTCTTCTTTCTGTCGAGAGCTTTTTACCTCCCGCATCCCTCGCAGACTTCAGGGTTGTGGAAGTGGTTTAACACCAGTTAAAGATTCCACAAGGCTCATCAGTTGATTAAAATCCATGATTGTGGCCAAATGATCGCGGAGTGTCTTTAGCCCCTCGGTAGCCATTTGTGGCCCGCGTGCTTGTCTGATCTAACCTCTTGGCGCCCTTCACAGGTAACCTTTGGGGTGTGCCCACGGACCACCAGCTTCCACCAGCTCTGGACTGGGACTGTAATCAGGTCGTAGCTGAAGCCTCCAGGGTTTCCCGCTGTCCGGCAGCCCTCAGACCCGGGAACTTTTCCACCGATGCGTTTGCAGAGTACCTTGATTTGTAACTCTCATTTAGTCCGTGAACTCTAGAAACTCCAGGGAATTGTTACGGAGCTGTAGCAGGGTATTTAGTGTCCTGAATCTATGTCCTCAGATCTGATCACTCGATTCTGACTCCAGAATTAACAATCCCTTAGACTAATGTTTTCACAGGGACACCTGTATATTGTGATTTTGTTCAACGGGAATTCGCTGTTCACTGTTCTTATATAAATGTTACTTCAACTGAGATGTTTAGCATACCACTGCCAGCATTTAGGGGTATGCCCAAACTCTATGTCAGGTGTCTCATCTGCCACTAGACTATAGGCATGCACTGTTAATTATTTTTTTACAGCTTTTGAAGACCCACATCTCTGTCATCCTGAGTACTGATCTCACTTGGGGCTTCCCTTCTGTGCTGTTCCAGAACGCCATTCTTAGTTCCTAGTCTTGCTCCTTCGTTTGGACAGAACCCGACCTCCAACAGGAGCGCAGTGGCCTTGTAGGCTAGAACACTATTACCAGTCCACTTGAACCTTCACACCTAACTGATGCTGACTGACTTCTAAACGAAGAAAATAAAGTCTGCCAGGATGTGAATAACCCCATGCCTTCACACAATGAGGGTTCTTGGACAGTGAGAGTGGTATTAGGTGAAGAAAACAAACAAAAAATAGTTTTGGAAGGGTCACTGAACTGCGGGAGCTCTGAAGGGGCGGAAACCGCACCTCCTAGTGTGCCTGAATTTCAAAGGGGAGTTTTAGCAGCAGGGTCCTAGAGCCAGTCATTTGCATTTCAAAGGATGTTAATGCTAAAGAGTTCGAGTACCCTCGGTGTCCCGGAGGGGGCGCAGGGGCGATTTGTAGCTTCTGATTAGTCATTTCAGGTGCACTACGGAGCGCCGGGCTGAGGGGAGACTGCGTCAGTATGGAGGATGGAATCGGTTGCGGGATATTTGACCGTTAGAGCTGTGAT